GATCTCGGCTCACCGCAACCTCCGTCTCCTGGGTTCAGGCAATTCTCCTGCCTCAGCCTCCTGAGTAGCTGGGATTACAGGCACGTGCCACCATGCCCAGCTAATTTTTTATATTTTTAGTAGAGACGGGGTTTCACCATGTTGACCAGGATGGTCTCGATCTCTTGACCTCGTGATCCACCTGCCTCGGCCTCCCAAAGTGCTGGGATTACAGGCGTGAGGCACCGTGCCCAGCGAAACCCCATCTCAAAACCAACCAAACAAACAAAAAAACCAAATATAAAATGAAGCCACTTCAAATGAAGAAAACTAGCAAAGACCCAGGCACATGGCGGGCACTTAGTAAGTGTAGTTGACTCTGCAAAAAGGTCAGAAAGCCCAACGGTCCCTTCGGGATGGAGGAGACACCAGGGCATGGAGGACAGGGAGGGCTTGAGAGGAGGGTAAGGAAGAGGCCTGGGAGCAGCAAGCAAGGCTGACCAGATGGGGGGGGCCTGGTTTGGCCTGAACACAGGGTTTTTGTGGGCTTGGAATGGAGGGTTCCTTGCCAAATTTTTTTTTTTTTTTGAGCCAGGGTCTCACTCTTTTGTCCAGGCCGAAGTGCAGCGGTGCAATCATGGCTCACTGCAACTTTTGCCTCCTGGGCTCAAGTGGTCCTCCCACCTCAGCCTCCCAAATAGTTGGGACCACAGGCACATGCCACCATGCCCAGCTACTTTCTCTGTGTATCTTTTGTAGAAACAGGTCCTCACCATGTCCGTCAGGCTAGTCTCAAACTCCTGAGCTCAAGCCATCCACCTGGGATTACAGGCATGCGCCACCACACCCAGCTACTTTTGTATTTTTAGTAGAGGCGGAGTTTCTCCATGTTTGTCAGCCTGCTCTTGAGCTTCTGATCTCAGGTGATCTGCCCACCTTGGCCTCCCAAAGCTCTGGGATTACAGGCGTGAGCCACTGTGCCTGGCCTATTATTTATTTTTCGAGACAGGGTCTCAGTGTGTCACCCAGGCTGGAGTGCAGTGGCGCAATCTTGGTCCACTGCAACCTCCGCCTCCCAAATAGCTGGGACTACAGACACACACTGCCATGTCTGGCTAATTTTTTGTATTTTAGTAGAGATGGAGTCTTACTCTGTGGCCCAGGCTGGAGTGCCATGGTATGGTCTCGGCTCACTGCAACCTCCGCCTCCAGGTTCAAGCGATTCTCCTGCCTCAGCCTCTCAAGAGGCTGGGACTACAGACACACACCGCCATGTCTGGCTAATTTTTTGTATTTTAGTAGAGATGGGGTTTCACTGTTTTGCCCAGGCTGGTCTCGAACTCCTGACCTTGTGATCTGCCTGCCTCAGCCTCCCAAAGTGCTGGGATTGTAGGTGTGAGTCACTTGGCTGCCAGTTTTTAAAAAGCGTGTCATAGGTTTGTGGCTTACGGGTCACAAGTGTTTAAATCTGGCCATCAGGCCAGGCACAGTGGCTTATGCCTATAATCCCAGCCACTTGGGGCTGAGGCAGGAGAATCGCTTGAACCTGGAGGCAGAGGTTGCAGTGAGCCGAGATCATGCCATGGCATTCCAGCCTGGGCCACAGAGTAAGACACCATCTCAAAAAAAAAAAAAAAAAAAAAAAAAAAAAAGACAAAGAACCTGGCTAGCCAATCTCTCTTCTGGGCTCCCTCATCCCACAGAGAGCTCATGCACAATCAGAGTACAGTCATTCCAGTACTAGGCCAACACAGAAAGATTAGGAAGGACAGTCCAAGGGGCCAGAACCACCACCCTACAGAAAGCCACAAGGAGGCGGTCATTCACTGTTCATCTCCACGTGTCCTTGTCCTCAAACCCAAGACTTCCCGTCTTCTGCCAGGGCTCCCCAGACCCCGACGGCACAGGGGTGCCGGTGGAAGAGGAGGATCCCTTCTTCAAGGTCCCTGTGAACAAGCTGGCAGCAGCAGTCTCCAACTTTGGCTATGACTTGTACCGGGTGCAATCCAGCATGAGCCCCACGGCCAATGTGCTCCTGTCTCCACTCAGCGTGGCCACCGCGCTCTCCGCCCTCTCGCTGGGTGAGTGCTCCGATACAGGAAGCCCCAGTTCTGGGGAGCCCGCCTGTGGCCTCTGCGTAAATGTGGCTGAGTTCATTGACATTTCCGCTCAGGGAGGGGTGAAGTAGCACGAGGGGGTTAGCTTGGGGGTCCCAGCAGTGCAAGCAGGAGCTCAGGGCTGTGCACGAACAATTCCACGAACAATTCCCCAGCTCCCAGAAGGGGCTGGGTGCCACTGACATGGTGCTTGGCCTCAGGGGCCACTTCTTTTTTTTTTTTTTTTTTTTT